CCACCTTCGAACTGCGCTGGCAATCATCTCACAAAATCGTTATAATTTCTAAATCGACTACTTCTATTTTTCGCTTTTCTTGTTTCACCGCTACGCTTGATTGCTTTTTTATGCGGGCCGCCGGTCGATCGCGTGGCATTCATTTAATGAATTTATTGAATTGCGCCACTGTATGTCGCTATTTTTCGCCCGCAGCATGCGGCGTTGACTTATGAAGTTCCACGGCTGCATTCCATTTCATTTAAAGTGGACGTTAAATCAGCAAATAGCATTCAAATCAACTGGAAAAATATTCAATTAATGCGTTTTGTTATAGGCATGTAGAATAATTGTTGTTGTTTATTTATTTCAGCAAATGCATTATTGCGGGAAAATACATAACTTGTTTTAGAATTTTTGTTTGGCATGTGGAAGTACTTGGACTTCCAGTCCCCCAAGTAAGGTTAAGCTCACAGTTGCAGTTACTAGAGAGTAAATTTGATAGGACAAATCGATGAAATCTCTCTAAATCAGCCTTGCACTTCCTAATGGAGTTTTGCCGGCGCTGCTCTAAATCATGCACCTTAAGAAAAATATTCAATTCAAGCAGACTCTAAGCTAAAGCAATGAGAAAAATGCCCAGTCAAAGAAAACTTATTCAAAATCGTAATTGCACTTTAAGAATTCTTTTGCGTAAAAATATAAATAACTCACGCTGTAATTACCAACGAAGTGAATGAAATATGCAAACAAAAGCGGCAGGTAGCAGGTAGACTGTGGCTAATTTTCCAATTTTTTTTTTTTTTTTGTTAATTCTAGGCGAGTGAAATACTGTACATAACTACATACAATTATTTAAAAAATAATTGTGATTTTTTTTCAGTTTTAATTTAGCTTGCAACTTTTGCATGCCAACTTAAATTACGAGCCTCCGCTGCACACACGTAAATAAAAAAAAATATAAGAAACAAAAATGCAGCAAAAATATTTTCACATGCCAACTGTTAATCCGGCACAACGGTTGGACCAGGTTGTTGCCGAATTAATTCCAATGAAAAGAAATGAACAAGAGTTTGTATTAGAATTCAACTTTGTATAAATGTTTATTCATATATATAAATTGGTGACAATATATGCATAGATGTGTTTCTATAGATTACCTTTGATTTGACTCAGGAACACAATGGCTGGAAACGTCCTCTTGGATTCACTCTCGGAAAACAAGTAAGTGACCGGTTTAAATTTATTCTTACTGTAGCCTGTCGAACTGTATATTTACCGAAGGGACATTTTAGCATAAGTAACATAGTGGTAAACAGTTCGACAGTTGACATAATAATGAAGCTATGTTAAGCATTAGGGTGGGTCGAAAATGCTGCGACAAATTTAGGCCGTTGGCCTAAACACCAACCTTGAAATTCCAATGCAACAACGCATACCAAAAATAAAATGAAAATATTTAGCAACCACCACAGCCGTGCAATGCACTTGGTGATCTGGCAAAAAAGCAACAACTAACTACCAGCCAAAATCCACTTAATTTGTGCACACACATTGCAAGTGGCTGACAACGCGGCGATGGCGACAATTTGTTGCCACTGACGCAGAGCGAAGCTGAAGCAAAAAAAAAAAATAAAATAAATGAATTAATGTAGATAGATAGTAAGAAATTATGTACATATGCAAAATGTTATCAAATATTTAGAAGCTGGCAAAAAATTTCGCCAAAACTAAAGAAATAAATTGTGAATGGCAGCTAATAAAATAAACCATTGCAAAAATAGCAATGTTATCTCGTGCTGATTATTATTTTCGAAAACAATTCGTATGGCTGTCAAAGCGCGGCTTCATTGATGTTACTCGCTTTGAACTCAGCTGTCTCTCATCACTTTCGCTGTTATCAATTTGGCGTGCTGGTGTCACTGTGATTGACGTGCTCAGTGTCAAAGATCAATTAATATATATACATATGTACATTTTTTTTTATTTGTTGTAATTTTTGTGGAATTGCTTCCTGATTTCTTTTCGTGTAGCGCTTTCAACCTTAATTTTTTGGTGAACTTATATTTCAGAGCGAAAGTAAATAGTCGGGACTGTTATCAATTCGTCGCGCTGATTGAGTTCTTTATTAATTGTATAAGTGAATACAACAGAAAGTCCTGCGCTATACGGTGTAACTTATAGCGTATTGCTTTTGTTATAGCACTTTATCAATTTAAAAAGCTATATTTGATTTCATTTGGAGATAAGAATACACAAATTTCCAATTCCGGTTGAAATCACAGAGACCAGACTAAGCAAATGACATCATTTATTTAATTTCCAGGAATGATCGACCACGTGGGCGTAGCTTATTTAGTATAGAGACGGCCAGTTAAGTGAGAGATTCTGGAGGATTTGAACTGCATACTCTGAATTAAACGTTTACAATGTTTATGAATTTGCAATCTTTGAAACATTTATTTATATACTAGTGAACCCACATGGCGTTAAAACGCCCAAAATTGAATTTAAAAAACTTAAAAAAATATACCAAATGTTAGTCAGAGTTATGAGAGATACGAGTGCCATATTTCATCAAAACCATGCAGCCGTTTCTGGGTGAAGAGCAGTCTCGCATAGCTAATATTCATTTATATTCATCTAATTTCAAATCACCATTACTTATGAAAAAATTTATTAATAAAAAAAAAAATTATTCATATATCTACAACAGAGCTGTGTAATGATTGAATCAATTGAGTGTGCATTCTCATTTTTTTCGTTTAAAAAATGTGATTGTTTGATTTAAAAAATTTAACAACCACTCTTGAGATTGGTTACAAATTGCAAACACAAAATATGTAGTGTGTTATGGAATGGTTGATACCCATTCACATAGAGAATGTGAATGCAAAAAAAAAACTCAATCATGTATGANGCCGGTTTGAATTTTTACAATTGAGCAATTGTCAAAAATCTTCCTTTTTATCAAAAAGTTATTTACCAGGGTGTCTTTGAACTAATGATTGGTACTGAGTTAAAGAATGCACACACATAAAAGATTGCAGCCTTTTCAATACTCATTCAGTGTTAAACCTTTTTTTGATTGGGCATTGGTTTTTTCAATCTTGCTATGAATATGTTGATGTGTGAATTCATAACTGCTTTGAGAGAATGGAAAATTCAAAAATTTTAAACCTCAATCGTAAGCGAAGAATAAGTAATGAAAACTGGATAGAAAAAAATTGTTGATTTAAAATTGAAAATGATTTCACACTTACACAGCTCTGATCTACAAGCTAAAGTCTCAAATTTGACCTCTTATTTTTGAAATTCCTTTTCAAAAGTATTCTCAAACTAAAATCTTCTTAAATGTCTTTCGTCTGACATTGTGATACACATGTAATCCAATAAGCTGATGAACTCACTCGAATTTGGTTGTTCGAACAAATGGCAACCCTCCTAAATAAACGTCAGGAATAAATTCCATTTCGATTTATACCCATCTTTTAATAATTCAACTTACTGAATAGTTTCAATGTAACTTTTTAAACACGTGGCAACTCTCTTCATAATTCGAAATGTTCAAACTAGTTAATAATTTATAACATTCTTTCGTATGACTACGGTATTTTCATATTTCATATACTTTTTGAACAGGTGGCAGCCCTCTTCGAAAGTATTTTCAAGCTTAATCATTGTTAACTCTCATTCACCATACACTGCGATTAATATTTTAATTAACTGATTAATTTTAATTTTCAAACATATGGCAAGCCCGCTCAATACAGTTCAGAAATAAAAAATTTTAAAACCCCTTTGGTTGATACCCGTATTTTAATAATTCATTTAACTTAAAAAATAATTTGAATCTAACTTTTTGAACAGGTGGTAACCCTCTTCCAACACCTCAAAATTTTTTTTTATATTGTAATACTCCTTCGTTTGACATCCATATTTTGATATTTCGTGTAACTTGTGTATAAGTAAGCTGAATTCCACATTTCAAGCATTTCTGAAACCCCTTTGTTTTGGCACCCACATGGTGATACATATTTCTCTTACCTAATATGATTTTTAAACAGGTGGCAACCTTCCTATAGTTCAGCTAAGAAACAAAGCTTTTAAAAACCATTTCGATTGATACCCAGTTTGTAATAATTGATATATTTTTTTTAATAATTAGAATATAATTTTTTAAAAGGTGGCAACTATTTTCAAATAGTAAAACCTTATTGCACATCTACAGTCCAAAGCCACCTCATTTTGGAAAATCCAACGAACGGTGCGGATTTGATGGCATTGATTATTAATAATTTGAATTTAATTTTTCAACAGGTGGCACTTCTTTTCGAAAAACTAAAACCGGTGTGCACATCTACAGACTAAGCGCTTTAATTTAACATCTCATTTTCCGATACTGTATGTATTAGGGCCGACCTTAAAAGGCCCAATATCACAAAGCTCCCTTTTATTTTGTTCTACGTAAAAGCTAGACATCAACGTTAACTTCAAAATTAAAAATACGAAATTTAAGGGTTTTAAAAATTAAATTTTTTTTATACAAAAATACGACAAAATTTTTACTTTGATCAAATATAACTCAGCGAGTTTCTGAATTCAAATGAATAGGTTTCAATTATATCTCAAATTCAGAATTCTGGTAAAAAATTTGCGGAGTTTTTCAATTTAAATTTTTCAAACCCGAGTAGCGACCCCCAAAATTTTTGAAAAATTTTGATATTTTCGTGGAAGTTTTTATTTTGTAGATGGAATAAAATTAAATAATGCCGGAAGGACGACCCTAGTATGAATATAAGTATAAAAACGCGAAGTGAAAACCGCTTACGTAGGCAAGTGTTACGTACAGTTAATAATCGGGGGGATATTATTTTCAAGTACTTTCTACAAATTAATATGTCTTAAACAATAGTCTTCCAAAATAAAGCCTCGCTATACTTCAGATCTCATTTCATTATTAAATTCTTAGTTTTTCCAATCGCAATAACTTATGCTTTCTTGTTTTTCTTCATTTGCAGCCACATCGTCTACAGCATAAAAATTTGCATACAAAAAAAAAATTACAACAAAAAATCAATGGGAAAAATATTTAAAATATTCCCTGTGTGTTTCCATGCGCGAATTAAATCAATAAGTGATTGCCAAATAAGCTCTCAATTGTGAAAAAATAATATAAAATAAATTTTATTGCCGACGCGTTTGCTTTAATTTATTTATTAGCAAATAAGTAAAAAGAATAATAAGAGAAGAAGAAGAAGAGGAAAAGTAATAAAAAAATTTCCAGCGCACTAAGGCAAACAAAACCTCGACCGAGCAAACAAAAACTGGCAAAGTAATCAAACAAAAATCAACAAACCTAACAATAAATGAATGTCTGTATGGAAGATACAAGTGAAAAAGATCAGCAAAAGCAAATCACACAAGCGCCAGAGGTCATATCAATTGCCGTTTGATTTACTCGCTTTGCGAAATTTCGCAAAAATTCAATAAAGAGAAAATAAATATTATTGCATGATCGAGTTTTGGTGCTTCGGAGAAGTGGAACGCTAAATAGAAAGTGTTTGAGTGTTTGCGTGCAAAGAAATTTCCTAAACAAATAAAGAAGTCATTATTTCATGTGGAGAGGAAAGAGGAAAGTGAATTTTTAAAAAATATTTGAAATTAATTTGGATATTTTTGGTGATTTGGGAAACTTTAGACAACTCGCCAACATACATACATACATACATACATATTTGCGTATGCGATTTTAATAGCGTATTCTAATTGAAGAAAGCTGTGGTAATATTTTCTTAATAGAAATGGCAGCCCCTAAAGATGCTCATACAATTTTCTGGTTGCTGTTGGCACTCTTGGTGGCGGAAGTCAAATGCAGCGATTCAGCACGTAAGTAGATGATTATTTACATATATACATATTTATAAAAAGAAGATTAAAAATGATTTAACATATTTTCGTAATTTTTCAAAGGTCATTGACTTATTTAATTTAAAATTATATCCGTTAATATAGTTTGTTTACTAAATAAATTAAGAAATTTAAGCGTTTATTCGTAGAGCGGTGGACCTTACATAAATCCTCAAAGACCAAACAAATTGTGTTCACTACTAAGTAGAAAAAACAACTCCGAACCACAATACTTTTCCTTTGAAATTTGGTGTCAAACATTTAGCGGTCATTATGGTTCCAAGTTAAACTGGAAGAATACTAAAAATAAATGGATTAGGCCCATTCCATCTCAAATCACCCAGGCCGGTGGAAAGTGAATATAAGTTTGCGATAAAACGTACAAGGATTGTTCCTTAAGCAATTTAAGAAGACACGTATTTTTTCTTTTTGCTCAGAAATTCAAAAATTTCGAATAATAAATTTTATTCTTTTTGAGTACGAACGCTTCTTTTTTCCTCTCTAAATAGCAACTTTTGATGAAATCGCTTATAACTGCCGCAAAAAAGCAAGGATTTTAACGATTTCTTTTTTCAAATTGCAGACATTGATCTACTGAATCCATCTAGTGAACTAAAGAACAGTTATTGTTTATTAATATTTAATTATTGTTTATTGTTTATAAACAAAAATTTTGTTTTTTTGAAATTGGTTTTTTTTTTAATTTCCCCCTTTTTTCTCTCAAACTTTTTTGTCTATTAGGGAATAGTATAAACTATCTTCAGTACGAGTAGCAAAATGCTGAAATTCGTCGTTTTCGAGTTATGATTTTTTTTCTGAAAATGCACTTATATGATGCTAGCAGATTCTCGTGCCAGTAGAGGGCAAAAAAATTGTTGCCCATTATGATAAAGTTTCCTTGCTGGAAATAATTTGAGGTTGTCCGATCAGAGCCAACAGTTTTTCCCAATTGCGCCCTAATTTTGGCCTAATTTGAGGATCTGAGATCTAAATTTAGTTTACAGGGAACAAATTTCACTCGTATTAAATGCAAGTTTCCTCCTCAATCCAGGATTCGAGTAGCGGCATGGCTATTACGAAATTTGAATTAATTTTTACTAGCTGGCTAAACAAATTTCGCTGCAGTATTAAGATTAGCAGTTTTGTGAAAAAAATTAAAAATATAAATATGTAAAATCAAATGGGGAAAGATAACAAGCTGCATGTGCATATTTTGATTTTTGTTTTCTACTTTAAAATGTCAAAAGAGTAAACCAAATTTTACATTAAAGATAAAATTGTAAATTGTAGTGCTTATCATAAATTAAAGACACCCACATATTGACAAGATTTAACTATTTTTTCGTTTTGATTACGTGTTTATAAAAATTTTGTTTTTGCTTTAACACAAACCTTAAAAATTTTCAACCTTCGCGGAATATTTAAAGAAGATGAAACATTTTCGAAAAAATTGCGAACTATTTAATTGGATTTCATAGAAATATTTTGAGTATGCAGTTTTGTAGTCCATTACATTTTAGTTTAAAAAAGTGCAGGTAATTTGGACTTATCGTTAATTTTTTGCATCTTATTTTTGTTGAAGGCGTTCCTCATTTCCTCCATATACTCCATATAAAAAATCGTCGAACATACTACATACACACAAAAAAAAAAATGCCAAAAATCTGCGGCAAGTCCGAGGTATTTTAAACTGCCACTTTATTGTATTAAAATTGAATAGGCAAAAAAAAACTGCGTACCTACTCAAAATTTTTTTTTTACGAAAGTTTGTTGATTTTTTTTTTTTAATTTGCACAAACATTGGAAATTGGATTCATACGGGTTTGATTGAAAAATAAACTGTACGTTTACAAAAAAAAAATAATAAAATTAAAAATTAATAAAATAAACAAATTTTCTTTTATCAAAGGGAAAAATTAGTATACATACATAAATAGATACTTTAAATTCACCACTCGCCTTTTGATAAAATCTTTAGCCTTACAAAATCTTATAAGTTCGTTTTATGTGCGCCGTTTTTCGAACACTCATAAAATATATTTTAATAACTAATAAGCTGACAGATGAACGTTTGTTATGGCCCTCCATATATCACACTCATAAACTTGCTCAAGTATCCACTTATTCCCATCCTCATCCAGCCATACAACCGTACAGCTTATACAAATTAATGCACGCGGCTGTGACATCTTCCAAAAAGCAAAAAAATAAAAAATATGTCGCGTGGGCGCCTGCTGCTGCAGTGGCTGTACTCGGTTGCCAGTTGCCGGTCACACTTGGCGTCCGCTTGCGAACACTTGCCAGCGACAGTGTCAAGCCTTTTAAGCGAGGCGATTAAAGCAAGACAAGTATTGAAGTGAAAATATTAAATATACAAAAAAAAAAAACGATGCAAAATAAAATAAAGATAAAAAATCGGAATGAAAAGAAAAAGCAATGCAACAAATATTGCTACAGTTTCGAAGCTCTTAAGTGCCACGCATTAATTGAAAATTTTTGCTTTAAGCTGTCGTAAAACATATGAAAATCGCTTAATTATTTGCTATAATTCAGTTTCAGCGAGTTATTTATTTATGTTTGTTTTGTTAAAGAAAAAATGTTTTTGAATGTTTCGAAATTATTTCTAATGTTAAATTAGTTTGTTTGCAGCTGTTTAAGGCATACATTTTTACTTGCTAAAGAAAAAAAATTTAAAATAATACTTTTTAAGAAATAATAGAAAGTGTATCTAATCGAAACAAATGCAAATATTTCACTAAACAGTATAAATATTTTTCACCTAATTAATTTCATTGAAGCAGCCAAAATATTTCCCACATAAACACAAAGTATTTGCAAATGCAAATCGAATAGCAGAAAAAATTCCACAAATGCGGGAATTAGAGCAAATTTTTATGATTTCCACTTCCGCTCCAGCTAAAACCGTAAGCAGCTTACCAAAATAATAATACTCAAGAACTGGAAAAAACGGCAAAAAAAAATAGTTTAAGAACACTTGAAAAATTAGCAAATACCAAAAACCGCAATTAAAAAAAAAATTTCACAATGCGAAACTCTGTGCGAAAAAAAAAAATTTCAAACGAAAAAATTACTGCAATGTGTTTACCGAAAATGCGAAAGCGCTAGAAAGAAAACAAAAACAAACGCAATTTGGTAACAAAAATGCATGGTTTTGTTGGTATGCCGCTGGCAGAGGCCGCCAGTGCCGCTGGTGTTTCGCAAGCTGTGGCGTCATGAAGTGGCGCGCTGACCTGGGGCTGGCGGCGACACGCTACGAGTCATAGAGCTGCTGACTATTGGCTACTAGCTGGCTACTGCAGCAGTGTAATGAAAAATGGTGGCCGAATGGCTGGGTGACGTTGGGCAAGTGAGCCGCTGCTTGTGGCGTCATAATTGCGTGCCAGCCATTTGAAGTGGCCAGTGGCACTCACGGAGGCATAAATATGCACACACACTAAAAAAAGTGAACTTAATTTATTTAAAACTGTGTGCTTTTTGATCAATTAATGTGCTGCTTCTACACATTACATTTTGTTGCTATTTGTTGGTGTTCCAGTAATGCGTTTTTTTTTTTTTTGGTAACACTCAAGCGTGTTTTTTTTTTTGGAGAAATGCTGCAATAATTATTTTCGTTTTTGCTACAGTTCACTTGAAATGGCAATGGAAAATTAATGACGTTTTTTGTTGGGAATTTGAAAAATTTCATGTAATTTTTCTTAACAAAACATTCGAAAAATTCGTTGGCTTCGTACTTGAGTTTTTATTGCAATTTTTAATGTTACTTTGTACAAAAATTACTTGCGACCGTTTTTTGAACAAAATTTCTGTTTAAAAGGCAAATATATAAATTTTAAAATCTAATTGAGAAAACAGCGCTAAATATGTATATCAAACATTTTTTTCGTTTACTTTTTTACTCTATATGAGCTATCTTCTCCTTGTCTCTTTCTACCAAACTTAAAGCGAATTGCGAGTTATTGGTTGAATGCTCGTACAGAAGTAAGCATAATTTTTTCTCATAAAACCAGATTTTCCTATGAAACCGCCTAGTCGAATAAAGTTCCTATATACTTAGAAAAATATCTGGAATAATGGATGCTGAATTTTCCAGCTGTACGCCCGGAAATCCCTTCCCTGCTCAGCCAAGCATTGAAATTGCCAATCACGATTTTATCTACGGCGGGAATACTCACGCTGCGACCTAAGAAGATCTATTTTGCTAAAGTCGAATTGTAATCACTCAAACTTTAGGCTATTTAAGAAGTTAGCACTTTGGAGGGTACCATGTTCCAAATTTTGGATGGAGAAGACAATCGTTTCCTACGATGCCTGCTATTCATGATACGATTATGATTAACCCATATAGAATATGCTCTGGGGTTTCCTCCACCAGCCCATAAAACCTGCAGTCCGTACCGTAATAATATACAACATATGGATGTATATACACAGAAACACAAAATTCCTAAAATTAAGGCTTATAGCCATCTGCCAGCCGAAAATCATTCAATTAACCTGTAAATTACTGTTAAATTTGAAATAAAAAAAAATCACTATCAATTTTATTTATATGCAAAAACTATCTACTCTATATTCCATAATTTTTTTCTACCCAAAAAAATCGGGTCAATCAACTCAATTTGGATGAGGCAGACGACGAGAAATTCCTCGTTGCAGCTTGCTTATCTTTAAATTGTATAAATGTACTGCGCCGAATTTGGAAACAAACAAAATACGAATTGAGAACACTTCCACTTGATTTGATATTTTGCAATTTCAAGCGATCTCATTTCATAGTTGCCATAACATCTGCGCTTGCATGACATACATTCGCACATACTTACATAACGCATAGGTACTCATACCTTAAACTGCCTTGCCTTTTTTACTTCAACTCGTCGTATTTTTTCTTATATCTGTTTTTGATAATGTTTTTTCTTATTTTGATATTATTTTTTTTTGAAATCAAATTAATTTGA